TTCGGTGTGCCCCCCTGGATCAGTTGACTGGACGTCTCTCGACCCTGGGCGTTTCATTGTTTCCGATTCCGGTAGTTCATTGTAGTGTTTCGTTTGCTCACCGTTCTTGTGATCATTTTGACCCCACGGGGTGAGCTCTTGCGTGGAGCCCCAGATCGAGGGAGATTATCAGTGGTCTTGTATGTCTTCCATTTTCTAATAATTGCTCCCACAGTTGATTTCTTCACACCAAGCTGCTTACCTATTGCAGATTCAGTCTTCCCAGCCTGGTGTAGGTCTACAATTTTGTTTCTGGTGTCCTTTGAAGGCTCTTTGGTCTTGGCCATAGTGGAGTTTGGAGTGTGACTGTTTCAGGTTGTGGACAGGTGTCTTTTATACTGATGACGAGTTCAAACAGGTGCCATTAATACAGTTAACAAGTGGAGGACAGAGTTGGCTCTTAAAGAAGAAGTTACAGGTCTGTGAGAGCCAGAAATCTTGTTTGTTTGTTATTGACCAAATACTTATTTTCCACCATAATTTGCAAATAAATTCTTCAAAAATCAGACAATGTGATTTTCTGTTTTTTTTTCTTCTCATTTTGTCTCTCATAGTTGAGGTATACCTAGGATGAAAATTACAGGCCTCTCTCATCTTTTTAAGTGGGAGAACTTGCACAATTGGTGGCTGACTAAATACCTTTTTGCCCCACTGTAACAGTGTGTTGAACAGAAGTTGCCAGTAGTATCACAAAACCTTGGGGAAAAGGAGCAGCTTGTCACCTCTTGTTGATGCTGTCGTATATTCTTGCAGTTCAGAAAATGTAGAGACATTTTTAAAGATTTACTAGCAGCTGAATTGAGAGTGTGATGACTTGTATAATTAAGCAATAGCTCACGACAGTATATGCTCACAGCTAAGGGGCGTGGTTCGGTTCAGTTATAACACCTGATAACTGCCAGTGTTTTAGATCACTGTTCTAAGGATAGCACTTGTGCAGTAGGAGAAAAAGAACATATAGCAACAAATGAAATTTAGATTGATTATTATTTTCCTCTACATTAAGTAAATGTGTTTCTGTGGTTATGGAGAATGTATGTTTTATAATGGTCTTGACTTTAACCACTAATTCTTTAGTTGGTATAAGACACATCATCATCATTATTGTCACATGAAGGCAAAGCGTGTTCTTGCTTCTTTGGGTCACCACTCAGTACTGCACAGCTCAGAGCTATATGATAATCCTCCATTATCTATCAGAGCAGAATTTATTTGATGACCTTTCATAATCTGCAGTTAAATTGTAAAGTCTAGATTGATTCTGTAGATAATGACATTACATCCTGGTCCATAACACCTTCACAAACAAAATAAAAGAGAGCTAAGTTATGTCTCATAAATCTGAATCCCATATTTTCACTGTATGCTAAATACCATTAATCTCATGCCGTTATATATCAATAAAAAACATACCTCTCTTTTCTACTAATTCATTGGCCTTTGTGAAGTCCATTTCCTCAGAATAATTACATTAAATTCTACATGTGTTAACAGATGGTTGTCACTGCTCAGTGTACATTACATTAGATATCTTCCCAGAAATAACATGAAGTAAAATGACTCTGCACATCGCAGTCTCCAGCCATGTTCCATTATGTATTAAGTGTCCGTTTTAACCAACCATCACTGATTAGCCCAGTTCCAGCCACAGAAGAGGAACGAGCTGCTGAAGTGATTTATATATTTGGAAAACGAACCATTTGGGGTTGTGTAATATTGTATAAGTATAGCAAGCACATCTCTGGAGGGCTCAGCTCCATTGCCCCTCTCCTGAGCTGTGCAGTAAAAAATAATTAGATACTTGGAAACTACCCAAGCGTCACAAGAAAGTTGTAAGCAGCGCTGAAAAGAGAAATAAATATCAGCACTGCCTTTCGTCAGTGGAAAGATCATTAATATCGAGACATGATGCAGAGATGGCTTTCTGATTAAAGGTTAAAACATCTCTAGGATCAGTAATTCTTTTAAGTGCTGGTTGTAATAATTGGTATGTCAATCCTTACTTTTTTACGTAATTACCAAAGTGACGTCCAAGCAAATAATTGATCAAAGGAATCTTCTTATTCAACACTTGTATTTGACAGCAAGCCCCACCAGCTACTTTAAAAATGCAGTTACCTCTGAGACTGGATTTGCATTAATGAAATGCTCAGGCAACAAACTGCAATGCGAATGCAGGAAGTATTCCTTGATTTCTTAATTTCTTACAAACTAAAGAGAGCTCACACTTTCTTAGTCTTTTAATTAGTTTTTTAAGTCAACAATCATTTGGTCTGAAAACAGATCTTTAGATGTTTATTTTCACAAAAAGCTGCTTAATATTAAAACAAAAGTTTAATCTATACTCAGATAAGCTTTTTGTGGGTATTAATATCTCTGGAAGTAAATGTGTCTTCCATTATCATTAACATTGATAAAGAATAACAAATATTAGCGAATTTCATTGATATAACGTAAATCTGCACGCTAATCTGCCAACTCATTTCAAATCAGTTTGACACACACGCACGCAGACACGCAGCAGGAGAGTGACTGAACAGTTGACTTGCAGCTGAGAGACATGCAAGGACCCTTTTAGTTCCATTATGAATTTTCAAGCTTGAATAACATCGAATTTGTAATCCTTAATATCCCACTGTGAGGATGTGTGCTAATGTGTGAGGAGAGCATGTAGACGGCTCTCTGATCTCTGTTTAACAGTTAAAGCAGCGCAGACCCTCTAACCTGTCTCTGAGTTAACCCTTGTGTCCTGGGGAGAAGTTTTCTTTTGCCACCTACACACAAATAGTACGAAGTTGTAAACTGCCCCCTCTTTGTTCAAGGTTAAAACTACTTAGGCCCCGGCCACATGAGGACGAAACCGGTCGTTTGCGTTACTGTTTAGTGTCATATAGACCGTTCGGCCACACGAGGACGACCGAATATGACAGTAAACAACTGCGGAAACGATAAATTCAGATTATTTATCTTTCTCTCGATATGGACATAAACGCGAGTGAAGTCTAATCTGACAGGACGGAGACACGCAGCTCTGCTCACCTGCAGCTCCTCCCGCTGTGATGCAGCGGTGAACGGAGGAAAACACACACTTCAAGTCAGATCATCACCCTTAGCTATTTTAATTACCTCTCAAACTACCTAAACTAGTTATAAATATGTTTATTTTTACTGTCGGGTCACTCATTACTGGATCAGCACGAGACAGACACTGACGCTGTCCGAAGAGAGGGAGGAAAAAGAGAGGCTCCATGTATTATATTATTATATTTTATAGATTCGTTATTTATTTGTTTTAAAGCTCAATAAATAACAAAGAAGAGCTTTGACCGGCACTTTTATAATTTTGTCCTGAAGATTTAAACTTTAGCACACGTTGACTGGCGAAAAACTCCCGGTCCCCTCGGCCCCCACCGCGGAGAATAAACAGAAGGGCAACCATGACAACCATGCTTCTTCGCCGCTTTTGTGGTTTGAAGTTACAGCGCCACGTACAGGCTCCTGCATATGTACTGCAGCTTCTCCAGCGGTTGGAGCTAAACGGAGCTGTCTCGTGTGGACAGACACTATCCGGTGAACATCGCGTGTGGACGGAAGCTTTTTTGCGTTTGCGTTAATCCTATGCGTTTAGCCGTATGCGTCCTCGTGTGGCTGGGGCCTTAGTAAGCATGTGTAAAGATTGTAAAGGACATTGACTGTAGTCTCGTACATTAGCCCATCCTTCCTCATCCAAACATGTTGCTGCACCTTAAAACATTTCTTTGGATTCTGTTTTATAAAATAAACAATGCTGCCTCGAAAAAAAAAAAAAGCAATTGTTTTTTTCTGAGGAGGTTTGTTTTGCCAAATCAGTGAGGCACTGTACTTGTACCATGTTCTTGGTTCTTACAGTTCCTGTGTGAGACAGAGGGAAACAATGGATAAACACAGACATAATGATTTAAATGAATTGTACCACGTACTAACATGATGAGCCCGACCGAAAACCATTTCTGTGTTTGCATCTCAGTCTTTAGNAGCATTCAGCGGACCATATGACATTCTCCCAATCCTCTTCTGGATCATCTAAATGCTCTCTAGCAAACTTCAGACGGGCCTGGACATGTACTGGCTTAAGCAGGCTTAAGCCAGTACATGTCCAGGCCCGTCTGAAGTTTGCTAGAGAGCATTTAGATGATCCAGAAGAGGATTGGGAGAATGTCATATGGTCCGCTGAATGCTAGAGAGCATTTAGATGATCCAGAAGAGGATTGGGAGAATGTCATATGGTCAGATGAAACCAAAATAGAGCTTTTTGGTAAAAACTCAACTAGACGTGTTTGGAGGAGAAAGAATGCTGAGTTGCATCCAAAGAACACCATACCTACTGTGAAACATGGGGGTGGAAACATCATGCTTTGGGGCTGTTTTTCTGCAAAGGGACCAGGACGACTGATCCGTGTAAAGGAAAGAATGAATGGGGCCATGTATCGTGAGATTTTGAGTGACAACCTCCTTCCATCAGCAAGGGCATTGAGGATGAAACGTGGCTGGGTCTTTCAGCATGACAATGATCCCAAACACACCGCCCGGGCAACGAAGGAGTGGCTTCGTAAGAAGCATTTCAAGGTCCTGGAGTGGCCTAGCCAGTCTCCAGATCTCAACCCCATAGAAAATCTTTGGAGGGAGTTGAAAGTCTGTGTTGCCCAGCGACAGCCCCAAAACATCACTTCTCTAGAGGAGATCTGCATGGAGGAATGGGCCAAAATACCAGCAACAGTGTGTGAAAACCTTGTGAAGACTTACAGAAAACGTTTGAACAAATTGCCAACAAAGGGCATATAACAAAGTATTGAGATGAACTTTTGTTATTGACCAAATACTTATTTTCCACCATAATTTGCAAATAAATTCTTTAAAAATCAGACAATGTGATTTTCTGGATTTTTTTTTCTCATTTTGTCTCTCATAGTTGAGGTATACCTAGGATGAAAATTACAGGCCTCTCATCTTTTTAAGTGGGAGAACTTGCACAATTGGTGGCTGACTAAAACATGCGTCCCCCACTGTATCTGGGTCTGATTTTTTTTTTAAAAACAGGCTATAGTCAAACTCTACAAAGAAGTTGCACTGCCCCACAAAACACCAAATGCATAACAAATACATGTATTTGATTAGTAAAACAACTCATTGAAATGCAGCATTTTCATTATTCGAAACACAAACAGAGAGAATGTCTAAAAAATGGGTCATAGAAAGGATCATAAGGAACAAAAGCTTAGCTCACTCCTACTGGGTCACAGGAAGTCTTTTACCAGCTCAATTAAAAGGGCGGGGGGGCATTTATACACTTGTAAAACAGGAATGAGAGCTCGTCTGTTTTATATACTGAGTAGTTACGAGAGCAGGTCAGTCAGAATGCACTACGATGTGTCCTCATTCCTCATACTTCAAAGAAACAGAGAAATCAAACATGTCTTTTTTTGGCTAACTTGTTCTGTGACTGAAGAACTGATTCAGTAAAGGAACTTAACATTTGATCTGAATATGAATGTTTGAGGTGTTGTGATTTAAAATTAAAATTAACACTTTGTGTCTTTTAGTTAACTGCATTATCTTCAAATTCCTCGTACGTGTAAACCTACCTGGTAATAAACCTGTTTCTGATTATGATTATTCATAGTTTTGCATATTCTGTGTTTTATATTGTGGGATTGATTTCATTCTATAACAACCTACCTGGTAACTAACACATTTCATAGCAGTGGTATGTGATAGGGAAGAGAGGGACACACAGTGGAGAGAGAAGGGGATGAGACTAAAGACATGCTGATTAATAGAAAAAGAGAGAGGAGCAGAGCCGTGAAGAGGGAACTCTGCCCAAGGCTGCTCTCAGGAGATTACACGCGTAGAAGAAGTAAAAGGTTGATTGTGCATCTTTCCCGCTCTACCTCATCATATCCCCTTTGTCCTCATTGCAGCCCGGGGACACACACCAGGACACCTGCAATGTTTGCTCGATGTCTACAAGTCAGCTCTCTGTAATGTTCAGTATGTATTCCTTCTCGTGTGGTCTCAACTTCAGCACAGTATGAAGGCTTTACCCTCCCCCTTTAAAACCACTCGGCAGAGAAAGTGAATCACCCCACACTGTGAAAATGCTTATGCTATGTGTTTCAATGTATGACTACTCGCTGTCTTCTTTCTCCTTTCTTACCTCTTGATTGAGCAGGGCGGTGGCCAGTTTCTGGACTTCAGGAGTCAGCAGTTGGGTCCCTCTGATGACTTTGCTCAGTGCAGCCAGGGATTGGTGGATGCTCTGTGACAACACTTACAGTTTAGTTTACATACTGTGCCAATATTTAGAGCAGTGGTACCTGGGGTTTCATTTGACATTGTGCCATTTAATTGCTGTTAACTAGTTCATTATAACAGGCCCTTTGATTGAGTGATTGGGCTTCTTTCTCTCATCTGATTACCTAGCTCTCTTAAACGACATTCTAGGATGTTAAAGAGAGTATTCAGTACATATGCACCTGTGGTTTGTATAACAAGTTAAATATAGACTGCTGCTAAGAAACTGGAGAAGATGAATTACATTTTTCTTACTGTTTATGATTCGCACTTATCTCATGCATCTTTATGAAGCTAACGTACCATAACTCTTGTCATTCTAACATACACGTCTCTTTAATATTTTAGGTACAAGCCAAGTGTTATTTGATAAGAGCGTTGAGTCAAAATCAGTAAACAACACACTATGAGAACTTTTCTTTTTCCTTTTTAGGCAATGTAATGCAGGGGTAGCATTCTTTTCTGAGACAACGTTAGCACAGTTTATCGGACCTACCTGGACCAGGCGGATGGCGTTGAACTGCTCCAGAGTGATGAATGACAGGACCGGGGACCCCTGGCCTTCTGTGGGTGGGGCCACCTTCTGGTGGATCAGAGAAGAACCCTGAAAGAAAGTAGGAACATAAAAAGACATATCAGTTTATTGACAGGATAGAAAGACAGTCCTTTAAAGATGGTATTTCCAAGACTGAAAGAGACAGGTTTGTATAATGGAAGGAGAAAGAGATGTTTTATTCCACAGACAAAGCATTACAAATAATTACCTCAGTCTAATTAACTGAGAGCTATAGATATTTTTCCCTTGGCTATAGGTGCTTGAAAGATTGTTGAATAATATTGTTCAATTGTCCTAGAATTGCTGTATGCCCCTCTTATGGCTGGAACACTGATAAACTTCAGGCTACCTAAATTGGTCGCTTCACAGGAGCACAAACATGATGTTATTTACATGTAGAGTAAGGTGTTTATTGCATTTTGTAACTGCCGCTGTGCATCAGCATGCTATCATTTTTCTTTTAAATGAGTTCCTCCATTACTACTGTATATCTTCCCTGTGGATTTCCTTAGCTCAACACACATAAACCAAATTAATTTGTTCTTAATTCTTCCACAGAAATAACAAGATGTACCAAAATGGGGAATTGTCTTTCTCTCTCTCTGCAGTGCCAACCAGGGGGAACATTTGTTTACAGAAGTTAACACAAAAATGTACTGTTTGTTGTAGTGTACATAAAGAACATGTTAAATAAATAATAGGCACAGACACTGATCATTTGTTGTATTCTGTTGCAGATATGACATTCTGCACATCCAATTGTATTTTCCTCGCAGCAACTCAGATAGAAGCTGAGGAGGGAAGAGAGGGAGAGAAAGATGGTAGGTCTGTTTGATGGAGGAATGAACATGTTGAGAGAGAGATAGACGAGAGATAAATGAGACGAAGAAGCTGGCAGGGTGGGATTCAGCTCTGCTATTGTCTCTATTCAAAAATGCAACTTAACAGCCAAATAACCTGTCTGCTGTCTCATGCTTCTAACATTGTTCCAGACTAGATAAACAACAAGCAAAAATAAATACATTCACCCATACAAAATCCTGCACTGACAGCTTAAGACACCAAAATGCACATGGCCATAAAAACTCAAACAAAAGCATGCAGGGGCACAGTTATAGAGACGCACACAAGGTTGAACATTCACACACACACACACACACACACACACACACACACACACACACACACACACACACACACACACACACACACACACACACACACACACACACACACACACACACACACACACACACACACACACACACACACACACACACACACACACACACACACACTACACACACGTACTACTACGTACTACGTACTACTACGTACTACGTACTACGTACTACGTAACGTTAC